ACAGGGGACTACTATAGGGGTTATCAAGGTGGATACTAGGAGTTTAGACTATGAGAATTTACAGTAGGTGATATAGGCTCTGATTACTGCTGGAAATGGGTTTAGGGATTTAAGGTTAAGATGGGTTAAGGGTTTTGGGTGTAGGATTTAGGGTTTAGGGTCTAGGATTTAGGATTTGGGGTTTAGGATTTGGGATTTAGGATTTATAAACCCTAAACCGCTTTAGGGTTTAAGGTCAAAAGTCTTGCATAAGTTGCCTGAAGCATGGCCGTTGTGGTCTCCTTGGGCAGCCGCAGCTCTTCCAGAGTGGCAGAGTTGATCCTCACAGGTATAGTCCCCCTTACAAATGCATTTTAATAGAAGGCAACAAAGCAGGTCGGAAGAGGATGCTAGATGAGCCATACTCTAAACTCCTAGGATCCCACTTAATAACCCCTATAGTCCCCTATATGACTCCCTGTACAACTCCCCCGTAAGGAGTTTAGACGATGGCTCACATCCATTGAAAGGGTTGGAAGCCAAGGCACTCTTCTGCGGCATCTTCAACCTTAAGGGAAAATAGCTTGTCTCGCTGAGACCCAGGTGATTAAAGGGACTTTACTGGGAACCCCAAATAGGGAACCCCAAGAGTATAGTGGGAATATAATAGAAATATACCTACCAGGGTCCTTATACTCCATTATAATCTTTGGGATTCCCGGTTTGGGGTTCCCAGTAAAGTCCCTGTAGTGATGCCGCTGAGGCAAAGGCATTAGAAATTGCCTCAGGAACGCTCCTTAGCGCAAGCATGAGTGCTCAGAGCTAGAGATCAGCCCTGAAAGCCTCCGGGACCCTAAACCCTAAACCCTAAACCCTAAACCCCAAACCCCAAACCCCTAAACGCTAAACCCCTAAACCCTAAACCCCTAAACCCTAAACCCCTAAACCCTAAACCCAAACTTCTGTGCTCCAAGGTTCGAGGCTTCACTTCTGGGACTTTGATTACCATCGTCATCCGCTGGCATCAAGAGATTCCTGGGCAATAAACGTAATAACTTAGGAGGACCCCCCACCCTGTAATAGTGGATAATAGAATATAAGAGGACCCTTATATAATCCTTTTTATCCCTTATAGTCACTATTACAGGGTGGGGAGTCCTCCTAAGTAATAACAATAATAGTACTAACAATAATGGTAATATCATTTCTATTCGAAATAATAGTAGCATTAGAAACTATAGTAATGATAACGATCGCTCAAGATGAGAGCACCGGAAAAACTCTTCCATGGAAGGCTCTCCTGTTTGGCTAGCCGAGTGGCAGCTTCCCTGCTGCAGGGCATCTACACGCCGCTGGGCTTCAGCATGCCCAATGATGAATTCATTGAGCCCAGTGGCTAACGTGATCAAACACAAAGACATAGAGACCAGAACTAAATCCATGCCAACAACCTCTCAAACAAGAAGCTTTCTGAGCAAACAAGCAATGCTCGTTCATCAAGCCGCTGGCGCTTGTCCTGCCTGCACTGTAGACAAATTGCGCCTTGCCAGTTTGCGCAAACTTGCCATGATGCCAACAGCCCCTTTCATCGAAAAAGCCTAAGTGGGGGCAGTGACCCCACGTCTCCTCTGCAGGGCTTGCGTGGAGACTATGCAATCTGGAGCCTAAAGCCTACCTAGACCCTCCAATGTAGTTCCTTTTTGGGTTTGGTATGGTTTTTTGGTTAGGGTCTTTATTAGGACTACCAAAAAGGTACTACATTGGAGGGTCTAGGTAGAGCACTTCCAGGACATGCTGGCGACTCCTCTGGGCTTTTCGGTGCTTCTCGTCCTTCCCTTCGGCCTGCAGAAGAGCTGACCAGCCGGTGTTGAGAGCTACTGACTATGCTGACGGAGTCCGTGTTCCTTGAATTTCCTCGCTATTCTGGGTTGCTGTTACCATAATTGGTATATATCGGAATTAATGTCGTCTCCCCAATATAGTAGCTTTAACTTACTTCCTTGAATCCCTAAATTCCCCCAGTTACTATCTCATGTTCCATGTTCTTTTTCATTTGATTCTCCATTATAGGGGGATAATATGGCAACCCTAAACCCTATATATTATACCCCAATACAGTATCTTAAGCTAAGTTCCTTAACAGCAACCCAAAATTTCATGATGGTAGCTGCTGGGGCACAGACGACACCCTCGTTGGCGTTGCCGGATGGTTTGACGACGCCGCACACGGATGTGGCCTTGGGCGCTCCCGAAATTACCACTAGTCTTACCTTTAGGGTTTAGGGTTTAGGGTTCTTGCTACTACTCTAATTTTTATTACGAATATTACTATACTTGATGTGGCCTTGGACTCTGCCGAAGCACTTGCGAAGGCCTACTAACACTCATTCGCTGCTACGACTATACCTACTAATGTTGGACCTCCTTTAGC